GCAGTGAACCCCCTGAAATCTAAATGGAATATCCAAAGAGGGCATCTGGGTTCATCCTCGCCAGTCACGACGCCACCGTTCGGGCGCAATGGCGCAGAGCGCATCACGCCACGCCCACCTCGCTATTTGCTGCGCTTTGCCAAGCGCCAGACATGCCGCACTTTCGCCCACAGCCACGTCGCCACTTGCCCGTGACCTCGCCTTCACCTCCAAAGCCGAGCCATGTTTGAGGATCTCGATCGGTTCACGACGGAGGCATCTTGGCGTCTTTGGGCGGCCGGAGGACTCGGCTCGGCGAGCCCTCGCTCAATGTCACCGTCGTCGCTGGTCAGTGTAGAGGTGCCGACCACGGCCTTGCTTGCTTTTCACCAGGCCTTTGCCGCGAGCGACTGCAACTGGCCGAGACCGGGGACCACATCCCATCAATGGCCCGGCGTCCGGCCACCGCAATGGGGAGTTCATGGGCGGCGTGCTCAGGGCCACGGGCCGCATCGAGATGTCGATGACCAGATTCTCCTTCCGTGTGCCGGAGGCCGAGGAGCTCATGGCGGGGCGTGGCGTAACCGGGCGTTGGTGACCTCGTCGTGGGTGCCCCGAAGAGGACGCGTGGTGGGGGGAACACGGGAACTCCAAATGACGCCACGGAGGGCTCTCCTCAGCGGCGCCGAGGTCACATGAGGGGATCTCGTCATTGGGGTTGGAGACGACCGACCACAAGACGGCAAGGAGACCGCCAAACTGCAAAGGTCATGTAGGGGGCGTTATATGATGCTAAAACACGCCTTGGATAGAACAAAGAGGAAAAGAATTGGCGCCACAAAGAGAAGCTTCACCCGGCGGCCCATGGCGGCCGATTCCATGAGATTCCAAAATTCGTCACTTATTGAGGATGGTTTGCAACGAGGTCTCGTCCAGGGGCTAGCTAACAACCGGGCGCACTCATGGCTGCGAGGGATTGGAATGGGAGGCACTGGTGTGGACGAATTTTGAAAGGGCGCAAAGGTGGTCGCGGCGCGTGCGTGCTCTACTTAAATAGCCGGCCATGGCAAGCTCGACTGAGGCACAGATGGGACTCGGGCTGGCTCTAAGGCACGGCGAGGGCGCCCACTTGCGCGGGGTGATGACGGCGCACGGTCTTGGACGAGGCGAGGCAGGGCGGGCAGCAGCTCGTGCGTGTGGCCATGGCCAAGGCGGGATGAAGCGCTGCTTGCTTCCCCTGCTTCCTCGCCGCCCTGCTTCGTCCAACACATGCATACACGTCCAGCTCCTTAGATTTTAGGGTGTTCATTGCATATTTTCGGCCACGTCAGATAAAATATCCGCGTGGCAAGTATAGACCTGCGGTATATCATTTAGCAAGTTTAAATATCCAGAAATATATTGGTATATCATTTAACAAGTTTAAATATCCAAAAATATATTTTTCAAGTTCATAGAGCTAAGTGACACCCCGTTACAAGTTCGATCTCTCTTGCATTTAACTCGGGGAAAAATGTAGCGGAGAGAATTCTACTACACGCTACTACTGAATTGATGTGTTTCTTCACCATGGAAGTAGAATGTCTGTACTGGAACCTTTAATCTTGCTTATCACTTTATAAATTGCGCTCACATTTTACCACCCTCCAAATTCATATTCTTCTCCCTTTTCCTTCACTGAGCAGGAATCTCGACCAAATCGAGAACCACGTTGGACTTTTGTTGATTGAGCGAAACACTCATGTCAGCACAAGATTTATAGCTGCAGACTAAAAGTTGAAGCAACCACTCGCCTGATCACCGACGAAATCCAGAAGCCTCCCAGATGCTGAGGAGACGGGGTCGACACCGCCGCGCATCCGGTGCGCGTGCCGCGCCGCCTGCGCCAGCGAGTAGAGTAACGCCAGCGACGCGATTGCAAGCAGGTACCTAGGGAGAGACAGAAGACGCAACAATAATAAGCCATAAATAAACACGGATCGAAGAGCACGCCGAGCTCGAACGAACCCCCAGCAACCGTCGTCCGCTGGTGCACCTGTACTCCTGGTAGCGGTCGAACTGCATCCAGCCGCCGTGCTGGTTGGACGCGACGAGCACGAGCGCGACGAAGGCGAAGACGGCGGCCGCGGCATGCAGCGCGACAGGGCTCTTGTCGAGCATGTCCTCCCGCCGCCACCGCGCCACCACCGAGTCCACCACGCCACCGCCACCACCACCGCCACCGCGGCGGGCGCGGGCGCCCGTGCCGCCATCTGCGGCGGTGGAAGCGCCGTTGTAGGGGGCGTAGTCCGGCTTCTCGGCGTCCTGCGGCTTCTCGGCAGCGGCGGTGGCTGTGGTGGCGGCGGCGGTGGCGTCAGTAGTGACCATCGCCATCGCTTTGCGGCGCACAGCGTCGAGGTGGTGGATGAGTGGGGAAGGGAGGGGAACAATAATATTAGCGGGGGCTGTGAGATTAAAAATAAGGTGTGTGATTCCGGGAAGGCACTTGTGCATTACAGAGGCGGAAGCAAAGCGAGGTCATTCGCACAGACAGTGCGACAGATCAGCGGTTGCTCGAAATAATTACCAGAACACAACTCAATAGAATAATCTCCTTCAGCGAGTGGACTCGGGCCCACTTGTCAGTAACTCGAAAGCTGATTTGTCTGTAGCGTGTTAGCGTCCATTGTCCTGTGACGTGTCAGGACTCTAGTGACATCAAGGTACCGTCGCTGGGAGAGTGGCGGACGCTAGTCTTGTTTCTGAAGTTCAGTTTTTGAAGTCTGAAGTGCTCCGTGGGAGGCGAGACCGTGAGCAGGAAACCTCCTATGATCTTCTTTATAAGTTCAGAAGTAGATCGTTGTGACTTCTTAAAAAAAAAATCGAAAGGACGGGTTGTGGGCGCTGGAGCGACCGTCGTCGTGGCCGCCGGGGTGCTCGCCATCGTGTACACCGGCCCCATCGTCGATGCCATAGCATAAGACGGGATCGGCGAAGGAGAGGGCGGCATCCACGACTGGTGGATGGGAACCGGGGCGGTTGCCTGCACGTCCTGGAACGGTGGCGTCGGCGGCAGCAGCTGCTGCTGGGACGTCGGCGGCGGGTTCGGCTGCGGCCCCAGCAAGAACCCATGAATCCCGGCCACCATCTTGCCGAGGTCAAGGACAGCCGCCGTCAACTGCTCGTTCGTCATGACGCCCACGGCTGAGGACGACGCACCCGCGGTGATGTGGGGCGCCTGCGGGATCGACGTACGCGCCGGCGTGGTGGAGTAGACCGGCGGCGAGGCGGCCGTGAGCCACGCCGGTATCGGGGACGGCGAGTGAGGGAACTTGATGTCCTGGATCGGCACACCAGCGGGGGGAACCGACGGCGCTGGTGAAGTGGTGGCCGTCGTGTCGTCGTGTGGCATCCCGTAGGGGTACAGGGCGGTCGAAGACGCTGGGGGCGGCGGGTGGACATGATCGAACCAGAGATCTCTGATACCAGATTGTTATGTGGCCAGTTGGGATGGAGATGAGAGGGCGTGCTACAGTACAGTGGAGCTACCGTGTCCGCGGGTACTGTTCACAGCGGCGGCGGCTAGGGCTGCAAGGGCGCTGGGGGAGGCCGCCCTCGGGGCTTCGCCCACGGCCGGCAAGAGAGAAGGGATTTCCTTCTAATCTCTTGCTTGATTAGATTGATACATCTCCTCTCCTTATATAGAGAGATTTACTTGACTCCTAAGCAAGCGACTCTTATATCTAATTAACCCTAACACTAATGGGCTATATATCCAGCCCAGGCCCAATAGGCCCCTGCCATACTCTAACAGAAAAACAAAGGCCGGCCTAGTTTTTTAAGTGAAAACCGGGCCCAAAAACCACAAACACCACGGATTAGATGAGGTGCTCCAGCACCACCCTTAACTACGGTACAACTTCCGACCAGCTAGCCACTCAGCTCTACTAACCACTCAACTAAACGATTAACCACTCGCTCCAAAGAACCCAACTAAGCTGAACACAACCCGACTAACAACTCTACTAACAACTTGACTAGCACAACTTACACGGCCACTAGCCACCAGCAGAACTATCACAACTAACCGAGTAGGCAACATCCTACTGGTGAAGCTGCTCCGAAAAAACTCTTTCCCTATGAGCTCCCAACTTGGCAGCCAGCTTCGTGGATGTGGCTTCTCATTCAAGTGACCAGTGAAGCAACTGTTGTAGTGACCCTGGCCGATCCATTTTTCTTCTTCTTAGCGCGATCCATTTTTCTTCTTCTTAGCGCATCCCACCTCAATCAAGACTGTGAGGGCCTCCATCTTCTCTTTAGTCAAAGGACGATCCAAGTGTTGAGCATAAAAATAAAAAAGAACTTCCTTATCCTGCGACGAATCAGGAGTCGCTTCACCTAATTTTTTTTGCTAAAAGATCTTGGGCTAATTAAGTAGTACTTCTGCCAGGAGTTTTTTTGTGCTTTTTCAGCAAGTCTGGAACTCTTTCTGTTGGTGTCGATAGGTTGTGACTGCGAGGCTAACGCAACAGAGTCTCGCTCGTGAATGTGATGGTTAGGTGTGGCTGGTTCAGTGGACAAAACAGAGGGAGTACAGAGGATAGGAGGTGACACCGGCTTAGAGATCATGCTAAAGAACTTGTCAAGAGCTAATACCTCTGTAGTCTGGTGTGTAGTTGTGGAGGTTGTTGTAGTAGGGATGTCTGGGGATTCTTCTGAGTTCGGATCCATCACTGCAACATGATCCAAAACAGGGCCATCTTGCTGGTCGGGTGCAGTGAGCTCCCTATTTTCATCCAACGTTGCACTTAGTTGGTGTGTATTGACCGTGTTCGGATGCCGAGGAAGGCTGTGAGCTCCTGAAGCAAAGAATGAGCATTGAAACTCTAGCAACATCGGATCAACAACCCAAATCGATTGACACTCAAACTTTGATGGGACAACACCACGTTGGAGAAGAAAACTACCGTCGGCGATAGAAACAACCTCCTCGCCTAGCACCGTGCAAAGAGGATCAGCAAAGGAGACTGATTTCCTGCACGTTATAGCATCCACTTGCCTGCTGCGGCGTGAAGATGTGCCCCCCTGATCGTTGCGGGCAATCCAGCGACTGGAGCTGTAGCAGTCCTGCCCCATTCCCCCGCAATGCGAGGATCGGCACCGCTTAGCCAGGCCATGATGGCGCTGCCCCCCGCGCCACCCACGGTCCTTGTAATCATCAACTTGAAGGTGGGGAGGTTGTTGCTCCCTATTGTGCCCGTGCTGATTGCCATTACTATGGATGATCGAGGAGCGAGGTGGGGTCTGGATTTACAGACATCATACTCTTCCTGAGAAGAAACAACACTGAGATCCTCCCCTTCCATCAGAGCCTGAAGATAAGTCTTCTGTAGAGATTGTTTGGAGAGACAGGGGGAGGCTTTTGCACGCACAGTCCAAGAGGGAGATCCACGAGGGGCCTTGGTAGAGGCAACTGGAAGTGCAGAACAACTCCGAAGGGAAGGGCATTGTCTTGATTCGTGGCCTGGCTCTAGGCAGCGCCAGCATCGGGTGCTCCTTCTGCAATCCAACACTCTATGATCTGTGGCTAGGCAGTTAAGGCACCTTCCCTTAACGTGTTTCAGAAATTTTCTTCTCCTCTCCCATCGATCAATTTCAATAGGTGGCTGCTTTGAATGCTCAGAGAGTTTGCCTTTAATCTCTTGCCAACGACCTCTGTCATCTATCCTCGAAATGTAGAAGGGGCGACGCTCCTTGGGGGTCTTCGTGACAGTCCTAGGCTCCTGTAATGGAAAGGAGCAGAAATGTTTCTCTGGGATGCCAGAATTTTTAGCCGCTGGGGTGTGATTTGTATCATCAATTTGAATTCCTCCAATGCAATCTGCAGCACGTTGTTGCTGCCCTTCTTTGGCGTGCCCAGTAGTCCACCGGCCCCTGCAGGGGCGAGAAGCCTCTGTTTTGAGGCGATGAAAGCTCAGCCTCAATCTTTTCTTTTCCTTTATGCTCTTTGGTGGAGCGCTTCTGAAGGATCTCCTTTTGGGCTTCAATCTTACGAATTTGATCACTGAAATTTCTTTCTAAACGTCGAAGGAGGTCTTCAAGTTGGGGATCTGGTGGGTTATTGTGCCCCCCTGCAGGTTGTCAGTTGACAAATCGAAGAACCGCTGCAAGTCTCAGACGATGCTAGGGAGAACCGCTTGACCCGTCGGAGAATGCAAACCGAATCGCTCTGCCGCTGGGTCTATCGCTGCTTCTGCACATTGGATTGAGCCTGCTTCCTCCCGTGCCGCTGAAGGTGGAGATTTGGCAAGGCACCTACCAGAAGGTAGAACAGGGGATGACTCACGCAGAACTGCTTGAGGTTGTAGGTCATCGCTTGAGGGAGGCATGCTCTCTTCAACAGCTCCCTGTTTACTTGCCGGAAGGTGGTTGAGCTCCTGTGGCGCCCCTTGGGGCGGGGATGCCGGCGGCCGCTGCGTGGCGTCGTTGGCTTCGAGGCCGGTGGAATTTGAATGAGGACCGGACTGCAACCCATCAATGCGTAGATCGGTCGATGGGGAGGGTGGATGTAACAGAATCGATCAATTATACAAAATTAAGTAAGAAAATCATCTATAAGAGTAGACGATCTAGCAAACTTAAACCTGTATAACCTGGTAGTCCATGAAATCACGAAGGATTTCAAACCAATTTTCATTCCAGCCAAGATCATAATAAGTTTAGTGGTCACCATCACATATTACATAAAAGTTTGCTTCTCAGATACATCAGAGTTTAAACATAGTTATTACAAAACCAGTTCGAATAAAAGTAGCGGAAGCCATTTGTTTAAACCCCACACACACTCACGCGGAGTTTAAATATAGTGCCAGCGAATGATCATCTCCAACAAAAGCATTAGACGAGACGTAAGGAATGACCATGCCCATGGTCCTAAGCATCACCCATCGCAGGATAAAGGCAGTTGATACAGTAGCCGTAATACATCTGTCCATCTACAACAAGTGAGAATAAAACCCTGAGTACGAGAAGGTACTCAGCTAGACTTACCCGACATAACCGAAAATAAATGACACCAAGGATTACGAAGGCTTTATAGTACTGTAGCTGACTCATTTGCAGAAGAAGCATTTTTAGCATTTCAAGAACCCTTCTAAAAGCATTATTGTCAAGTTAATTATTATTAACCTGTCAACTAGATTTGCACCTATACTAGAGTAAACATGTGATTAAGCAGATAATGATAACCAATGATCATTAAACAACTTCCATACTGTCATATTCGCTATAACTGTCCAAGTGTTCCATAAACATTTACTACGATAAAGTAACTCAAGTCAAGTGCTCACTATCCAGGAGCGATGGCGATTCGAATCGATTCCTAACCAGCTGGTGATTATTTCTTACACAAACCTCACTCACCCGCTAAAGTGAGATATTGATCACCGAGTCAACTTTCCAGGTATCTCGAGTTTGCCAGGAACCACATGTACTCGGGGGCCGACCGACTGCACTTTGGTCTTATCATCTCGCCCCCGTGTCCTACCACACCTGCTCCGGCACAGTGCGCTGCGGGCAATCTACTCGGCCCGAAAAATCCCCCAGCTTCGCGGTCGGAAGGTACTTTATCCGGCCAGCTAAATGTAAGGCATGCATTCAACATGACTCGAGGCCCAACAACGGTCGGTCCTTAATCGACACAGACGGAAAGCACTACAGTCCAAAACTCTGCAAGTCTCCGTCCGGTCTCAACTTCATTTAACACTTAGTTATACCATGACTTTATAGTCATCCAAGCAGATCCAGGTAACCACCTATAGCTCGCAGGTGACAGGAAATCACCCGACTTCTACCGGTCTAAGCCAGCTAAGCATTGACTCGACTGCGGATACCAGGGTAACAAGGATATCGTATAACAAAGGTAAACAAGGTATAATGCAGCAACGGTTGCAAACAACTCCTGAACGTAATGCAACAATTAAAGTAAAGTATTTAATTAAATCATTGCAAACCGGGAGAAAAATGCTCCGGGGCTTGCCTCTCTCGAAGGAGCTCGGACGATGATCAGGGCACTCCGGAAGTTCCTCAACGTCCTCCTCGTCGGCTTCTGGCACTTCCTGCGACTGCACCTCGAACTGCTCCTCGGGCTCCTCGGGTATGACGACTGGGTTCTCGGTTTGCGATCCTGTATGATGCAATGTGCGTAAGTGCTTATGCAATCGGTGCATCGGATGAGATGAATACAATGGATATGTTTGAATGCAAGGTAGTCAACATCATCCAAGAAAATATACTACAAGCACATGTCATCTACTGCATTCTCTTCTACTACTAATATGTTAAGTCAACACATCTTATTAAATGCTTCAAAGATACACCAAAGCTAACATTATTAACTAACTTGCATTAAAGAGGATTATTTTATTTTATTTTAAACTAGGGCTACAACAGCAACCTATATTTCTGGTGCTTATAAAAATCTAAGAAAATTACAGTAGCATAGTACTACTCTAAGTAGACTACCATAAAATTTTCATAGCGTTTGGATAAGTAAAATAGTCTACACAAAAATGACAAGCTATGGCATGATTATGAACATGAAAATACTTTGTACTGTGAAAAGTGTCAAACAACAGAATTAGTATTTTTCCTATGTTCTTCATAGCATACAATGACTGTACAAAATTTATCACATGCATGTTTTATACAAAGTTTGCTCTCTAGCTAAAATAACAAAAATCAGCCATTAAAGGTACTTGAACTACACCTCAAAATTTTCCCACAGCTCATGCATGAAACATATTTTTTCTAGGAAGTACATTACATAAGAAGATTAACAAACTTGGAATCATATTTTTCTGAAGCCTATAGATTTTTCTACACATTTTTCAAGTTATCAGCAATATACAGGATTAAATAAAGTTCTACAGAAAAGTGTCTCAAAAATGACATGCAATAATTTTCCCAAGTAGATCTGGTGATAAGAAACCTAGCAAAATTTGTTTCAACAAATTTAGAGCCAAAATGAGTACACAAACATTTTCCAAAGTTTTTAACAAAAATATGAAAAAGCATCTTTTAAATCCTTTTAAAAGTCAGCCGACAAAAATACTGGGTGCACCCGGTGCTGTGCACTCAGATCCGATCCAGGGCGCTGACGAGCGGGCCCCCACGGTCAACGGCCCCCACCTATCGGTCGACCGAGAGATAGGCGGCCCGACCCAGCCTTGCTGACTCAGCGACGCCCATGAAGCTAGCCGGCGGTGTGGTCACCACCAGTAGCTCACCCGCGACGAGGCAAACACGGTGCACCAAGAGAAGGCACAGGAGGAGCTCGGGATAGGGCTCGACGGCGCGCATGGCGGAGCGGCGGCGCTGCTCCCGACGGCCGGCCATCTCCGACCGGGAAGGGGCGCGAAAGGTGGTGCGGGAGCTTCACCGAGCTCGTGCGGTGGTCGTGCGCGCGAGAAGGTGGCTAGAAGAAGGACGGAGGGCGAGGTCCACGGAGCGGAGCGCTCCGGTGAGCTCTCCGCCACAACTCCCATGAGAGATTCCTAGGGAGAGGGAGCTTCTCACGGCTTACCGAGGCGAGCACGAGGTGCGCGATGATGAGTCAGAGATGCGGGCGAGATGGAGGGTTCAATGGCGAGCTAGGACGGCCGGGCGAAAGCGAAGCTCTGGCGGGCGCTTGCGCATGGTGGTGGCTATGGCGGGCGCACAGTGAGAGGCAAGAGAGGCGGCAGGAGAGAGAGAGAAGTGAGGAGCGCCAGAATGCGGTGGGCGCGTGGGATTCAAGTCATGGACAGCAGAGTGCAGCTTCTGCATGGCGCGTGGATCGTGGTGCCGAGCCGCCAGCCGCCGACGGTGGCGCCACGCACGGGCAAGCCCCTCGACACGGTTGGGGGCGTGGCGCGGGGACGGGCGCGGCGCGTGGGAGAAGGAGCCAGCACGCTAGGGTGGGCCGAGGCGAGGTGAGGCGCGCACGGGGGCTTCGCTGGGCCGGCTTGGGCCGTGGGCCAGAAGTGAGGCGGCGGCCCGCGAATGAGGAAAAAGCCTTTTTCATTTGTATTTTCAAGGAATTTTTAAATGCCATCTTTCAAATATTATTTTGAGCAAGAAAATGACATCTTTTGAAAATGTACCAAAAATGAAAGTTGCTTAGAATTTAATTTTCTACAACTTTGCTTTTATGACCACAGCCAAATTCTTTCTAGATTTTGAATTGTAAGGTCAAAGTCCACGTTTAACTCAAAACCCTAATTTTTGGGAATTTATTTTTGAAACCAAATTTTGAATTAATTTGAATACAAACTTTGCTTCAAAAATTGAACTAAACATTGCTAGATGATTTACAATTGTAGCCAAACATGTTTCACTAACCTAGCAAGCAAAATCGTGATGTAACAACTCTTAAATGGGTGTATGCAACATTCAGGTTTCACACATGTTTCAAATGTTTCGAAGCAGTGTTTCAATTGTTATTTACATGATTAGGCATGTATGATTAGGATGCTTGATGATGCATGATATGTATGATTTGCAGTGACTAAATGCAGGCATAACACCGGGTGTTACAGCCCTCCCCTTATAAAAATCTCGTCCCGAGATTTGGGTTACGAACCATTTGTTATAAAAATCTTCATAAGCTTTTTGTAGATACTCTCCGCTTCCCAAGTTGCATCTCCTCATCATGATGATCCCACTGTATCTTGTATGTTTTCACCACACTATTCCGAGTAGCACGTTCCTTAGTGTCTAACACCTTGACCGGGTTGCTCACGATACACCAAATCTGATTTGAGTTGGATACCTCGAGGTTCTATTCTTTCCTCTGGAACACGCAAACATTTCTTGAGATGTGATACATGGAAAACTGGGAAAACGGTACTCATTGTCTCAGGTAACTCTAACTTATAGGCTACCGGACCTCTTTG